TCACACTAGAAGTTCCTTCCACCATGAAATACTAGGCTCTTTATGATGTAGTAAGGTTTGTTCTGTTAGAATAGACCTTTTTCTGATATATAAAATCATGATGCATTGTGATGTAGCTTCAGTACAAACAACACCATATTTGGAAGCATTAACAAAGGATGTTTGTGCCGAATCTAGACCACTGCACAGCAAACTGCCATTTCAGAAAAGGCCTATGGACAAACATTTGTCAAAATAAATATTATTATTAACTTGAGATACCTTTCCAACTGAGTTTGTTTCCATTCCTCTATCATCCTGGCATTCACAACATGCTGGTCTTCTTCCTCAGACTCGCTGCTGTCCAATATGTCAGGCTGTTGAACTTGTTGTTCAATTGTCTGCCATTTCTGGACCAACGATGACACCTTTCTTACTTTTGATGATAGTGATGTGCCAAACATTTTCTAAATGAAAGTGTGATAGTTGCATATAAATACCAATAATAATTACAGCAATATGCAGAAATTATGACTTTTTGACTCATATTTCAAGTATATATCAAATATATCAGAAATTATGGGGTATCATCGTCAATATTTTTTTCAGAAAGTACTAGTGCTAGGCAACTTCAAAAAAATATTGGYGATGATATCCCATAATTTCTGATATATTTTAGACATACTTGGAATATGATTSAAAATGATCATAATTTCTGCATATTGCTGYATATGATACATAATTCATTTTTGAACAACTCTATTAATTATTCTGGGGATTGGACAGTTTATAATACATTTAATCAGAARCCTATAAGGGAYTTGAAAATATCCCTTTTAATGTTAAGAAAACATTCTTCATGCATTCTGCTTCAAAGTTTATATATCTGATGAAGCTTTCTTAGTTATTTCTAGAAGTTATTTCTATTTAGAATATTGTAGAATTAAACTCTCATAACTCTAAGTACAACACTGATATATATTCACCTTTAAATAAACGTAAATGGAATCAACACTTTATTGTCTTAGATGCCATAGGTAGTTTAAAAAAGAGAACATTGAGTGCAAGTCACATAAGCATGAAACAATTCTTAACTATGTAGTGCTAGTTATCAACTAAGAATTGAGAACAATGCTACAAAGGAATTTAAATAATTGGCATTGTGTTTATGCTTTGTTGAATTCTTAGTTAGTTGATAACTAAATCTTATTTAGCAATACATATTAAGAATTGTTTCATGCTTATGTGACGTGCACTCTATAGAAAACAGTGTCCTAAACTAAATGGGTTAACATTCCTGGTGTAAAATATCTTTACACAGATACCTTTGTTTTCTTTTTCTTTTTGGTTTTTACCGGCTGCGTTGGTGGGACAGCTGATGATGTTCCACTCTGCTAAAAAAAACAAAACAAAAAAACAATGATCATCTTTAATAAAAATGTTATTTAATTGATATTTCAGTCATTTGTTTTAACAATTGGAAAACTAGCCCTTGTGGATTAGTTGAAGGCTCATTCTCCCAAACTGATTTTAGTATCCTTCACGCTGTAGTGCAAATTGGCGGTTAACTGCAGTCAAGTGATGGCCTATTTACCTTTAAATGCTGGTTATTTTGTGTCTTACTTTATTAATATGACTGTAAATTGTTTGTGACACAGATGCCAACTTCACTCACTCAGGCGCTTATTCAAAAAGATAATGAAACTCCAGTTAGTTGTACATCAAATA